GTGACATGATTATATTTGTGATGTAAACAAAACACCAATTCCTGGATTGAGCATGGAGTTTAGGATGGACAAGGATAAATGCAGAGTCAATATGGGAGGTTGGAGAAGTTCAGGACTTGGATGATGGTAGCTGGGGCTTGATGATTGTGGAACTGGAAAAGTTGGAATGTTTGAGATGCCTGTAGAAGGTAGAATTGAGGGAATTCAGTGATTGATGCATTCTCTTTACCACATAAGCAAGGTCTGCAAACTGTGACCAGTGGGCTAAATCTAGTCTGATGCTGGCTTATATCAATAAAGTTTTATTGGAACACATTTGTTCATGTGGCTATTTTTGCCCTATGACCATATGGCCCACAAATCCTAAGACATTTATTACTTAGTCCTTTGCAGAAAAAGTTTACCAACCCCTGATATGTAAAGTACTTAGTATTCATTATGCACTGTGCTAGTGACTGGATGTGGAGTTCTGAAAAAAGTGGTTATAGGTCTATACTTAAAAAGTCTCTATCAGGCCGGGTGCGGTGGCTCAGGAGTGTAACCCCAGCACTTTGGGAGGCCTAGGCAGGTGGATCACCTGAAGTCAGGAGTTCAAGACCAACCTGGCCAAAATGGTGAAACCCCATCTCTACTAAAAATACAAACATTAGCTGGGCGTGGTGATGCATGCCTGTAATCCCAGTTACTCGGAAGGCTGAGGCAGGAGAATCACCTGGACCCGGGAGGCAGAGGCTGCGCGGTGCACTCCAGCCTTAGCAACAGAGTGGGACTCAAAAAAAAAAAAAAAAAAAAAAACAAGTTTTATCATAGCTGGTGAAGACAGAGAGACAAAAATCATTTAAGAAATAAATATCAGGCCAGACACGGTGGCTCAGGCCTGTAATCCCAGCACTTTGGGAGGCCAAGGCAGGCGATCACCTGAGATTGGGAGTTTGAGACCAGCCTGGCCAACATGGCGAAACCCCATCTCTACTAAAAATACAAATTTTAGCTGGGCGTGGTGGCACGTGCCTGTAATCCAAGATACTCGGGAGGCTGAGGCAGGAGAATCGCTTGAACTGGGGAAGCAGAGGTTGCAGCGAGTTGAGATCGTTCCATTGCACTTCAGCCTGGGCAACAAGAGCAGAACTCTGTCTCAAGAAAAAAAAGAAAGAAAGAAATATCAAACGACATCTTCATACGGGCAGTAGAGGAAAGGTAGAGGATCTTAGAGGTATTTTGAGGGGAGCTAGGAGGAAAAACGATCCTTTGATGACATAGGAAATGCTGGTAGAAGTCACCAGGGGCTGTTGTTTCAAAGATGGCTCAGGGCCCAACATGTTGCTTATGGAGATACATGTCCTATAAGGGTTTTTGGTGTGGCCACTCTGCTGGAGACCCCCCAAAATGCTCTGCTTCTGTCCTTATGCCTTCTTGACCTCAGTATCTCTTCTGTTGCAGGGAGGACACCCACTGAGACCTCAAACCCTGGCTCCAGTGTCATGGTGAGGAAGCTGGGGGACTCTGATGGCTGAAGGGGTGGATAAGTAGGATAACTGTGTCCTCTGGGCTCTGTCTCCTCTCTTCCCACTTCCCTTGCCAACTGAGAAAGAAAGTGGGGGTGGAGTGAGGCGTATCCTCATCCCTGCCCTGGGGGACCTAGGGATGTCCTTCTGTACCTGACCTCTAGAGGGAAACCAGCATGAAGGAAGAGTCCCACAACAGACCCCGGGGCTCTGAGCAGAGCTCTCCAGAGCCAGCCTTGCCATCCCTGGTGAGACCTGTTGAAAACACACGTGGCCATGTAAATATAAATTAACCTTGAATTAATTAATATTCAAAACGTTTAGCCAGGCATGGTTGTGTGCACCTGGAATCGCAGCTACTTGGGAGGCTGAGGTGGGATGATAGCTTGAGCCCAGGAGATTGAGGCTGCATGGAGCTAGGACAGTGACCTTGTACTGCAGCCTGGGCTGCAGAGTAAATCCCTGTTTCAAAAAAAAAAAAAAATTGAAAAATTAAAGTGCTCAGTTTCTCAGTCTCCCAGCCACATTGTTCAACAGCCACGTGTGCTGGTAACCCCTTTCTGGAAAGTGCAGGCATGGAACATTTCCATCATCACAGAGTGCTGTCTGTTGGGCAGTGCTGCTCTAAGGAATTCTGTAATTAAAAGGCCATAAAGATTGTGGTGGCTCATGCCTGTAATCCCAGCACTTTGGGAAGCCAAGGAGGGTAGATCACTTGAGGCCAGGAGTTCAAGACCAGCCTGGCCAACATGGTGAAACCCTGTCCCTACTAAAAATACAAAAAAATTAGCTGGGTGTGGTGGCGGGCGCCTGTAATCCCAGCTATCAGGGAGGCTGAGGCAGGAGAATTGCTTGAACCCAGGAAGTGAAAGTTGCAGTGAGCCGAGATCACACCACTGCACTCCAGCCTGGGTGACAGAGCAAGACTCCATCTTAAAAAAAAGTTATCAGATGCAGTAATGCAATGGAAGTCCTACTTTCACAGTTATAAAAGATTATTAAGGACGTAAGTCTTGGGGGATCCAGGGACTTCATAGAAATTAAGCGGTCAAGCCCAAATTTGTGATATCACAATGAGGAGTTTAAGAAAAACTCTCTAAGCCGGGAAGGACAGGCCCTGCCATCATAGGTCAGTGGAGTTACAAAGAAAGCCAAACGTACACTTTAGGATTTGTCCAAGTGTTAAAAGAACGTAAACATTTCAGCTTGGTGGCCCATGTGATCTGTGTTACAACTACTCAGTTCTGCCATTGTGGTCCATTGTGGCCTAAAAACAGCCACAGCCATAGGTGCATTGTCAATAAATGGACGCGGCTGTCACCAAGAAAACATTATTTACAAAAAGAGGTAGTGGGCTGGATTTTCCGTGCCTGCCATTTCTGAACAACCTCTCTTCCCCAGTGATAACCAGTCGTTCTGCTCAGTGGTGGGGGTAGTCTTTGCCGAGCCGGAACGTGTGTGCTGTTTTAGGAATCAGTCACCTTTGAGGATGTGGCCGTGGAGTTCATCCAGGAGTGGGCGTTGCTGGACAGTGCGCGGAGGAACCTGTGCAGATACGGGATGCTGGACAAGTGCAGGAGCCTGGCCTCCAGGGGTAAGGCTGGCGTCACATGGCTCCTTCCCGTACGCAGGCACTAAGTGCTTCTTTATTGCCTGCCATGTGAACAAGACGAATGTGGCTTAGGCTTTGTCACAGGATGAGAAAGCTTCATCCATTGCACTCACTTCTTTTTCTCCCTCTGCTCCAAGGGGCTGAGGCTCTCTCACCTTGGAAGTCTGGGGCCAAGTTCAAGGAAACCCAAACAGGGCCTTTCTCAGCCCCTTGGAGCAGAGGGGAGGGTGTTTGTGGGTTGGGTCCTGAGTTCGTTAGCTCAGGCAAGATCCCTCTGCCTGAGCTAAGATGGGCAAGAGACCTCTGCTCCCCATCACACTTGCTCAGCCCAGGGAATCTAAAGCCCACGTTGAAGCTGAAGGAGAGTTGGAGTTGAACAACAAGAGTTTGTTTTCCCCTGTAAGTTCTCCCTCCCTCAGCACCTGTGTCTTTCTTCACGTGCAGAATCTCCACTCTTGTCACCTAGGCTTGAGTGCAATGGTGCGATCTCGGCTCATTGCAACCTCTGGCTCCTGGGTTTAAGTGATTCTGTTCTCCTGCCTCAGCCTCCCAAGTAGCTGGGATTATAGGCATGTGCCAGCACACCCGGCTAATTTTGTATTTTTAGTAGAGATGGGGTTTCTCTATGTTGGTCAGGCTGGTCTCAAACTCCTGACCTCAGGTGATCCATCTGCCTTGGCCTCTCAAAGTGCTGGGATGACAGGTGTGGGCCACTGCACCCAGCCTTGGAGTGAGGTTTCTCAAGTTCCTTTAGCTTCTCTTTTGTTTTCGCTTTCTAGCCCTCCTCTCCTACTTTCCTTTGGTCTCAGAAAAAGATTTGTTCTAGTTCCTCTTAAAAAAAAAAAAAAGATTAGAGGGCCAGGCCTGGTGGCTCATGCATGTAATCCCAGCACTTTGGGAGGCCGAGGCTGGCAGATCACCTGTCAGGAGTTTGAGACCAGCCTGGTCAACATGGCAAAATCCTGTCTCTACTAAAAATACAAAAGTTATCCAGGCATGGTAGGGTGTACCTGTAATCCCAGCTACTTGGGGGGCTGAGGCATGAGAATTGCTTGAACCTGGGAAGTGGAGGTTGCAGTGAGCCGAGATCACACCATTGCAGTCCAGCCTAGGGACACAGTGAGAATCTGCCTCCAGAAAAAAATAAAACAAAACAACAACCAAAAAATTAGAGCTATAAGTCACACACCATGAAATTCACCCCTTTAAAATGTGCAGTTCAGTGGTTCACAGCCTTGTGTAACCATCACCACTACCTAATTCCAGAACATTTTAATCACCTCAAATAGAAACCCTGTCGCCATGAGCAGCTACTCCCATTCCCCCCTCCCTCAGCCCCTGGCAGCCTCTCATCTGCTTTCTGTCTTTATGGTTTGTCCTATGTAGATATTTGTGTAGTGGAAATTGTATCATAAGTAGCCTTTGGCATAATAATTTTGTGTTGCAAATAAGTTACAGACCGGGTAATTTATAAACAATGGAAGTTTATTTGACTCCTGGTTCTGGGGGCTGGAAAGTCTAAGGTTGAGGGGCTGCATCTGGTTAGGGTCTTCTTGCCACGTCGTAACATGGTGGAAGACATCACTTTGCAAGGGAACAAGAGAGGGCCAGACTTGTTTTTACAGCAAGGCCACTCTTGAGATAACTCACTCCCTTCTGAAATAAACCACATGAATCCATCCATGAGGGCGGATCCCTCATGACCTCATCACTTCTTTTTTTTTTGAGACGGAGTCTCACATTGCCGCTAGGCTGGAGTACAATGGTGTGATCTAAACTCAGTGCAGTCTCTGCCTCCCATATTCAAGTGATTCTCCAGCCTCAGCCTCCTGAGTAGCTGGGACTACAGGTGCACATCACCACGCCCAGTTAATTTTTTTGTATTTTAGTAGAGACGGGGTTTCACCATGTTGGCCAAGATGGTCTCCATCTCCTGGCCTTTTAATCCGCCCGCCTCCGCGACCTCATCACCTTTTAAAGGTCCCAGCTCTCAATACTGTTGTATAGGGAATTGCTTCCAATCCATGAACGCTGGAGGATGCACTTAAACTATCTGTCTTCTTTCACTTAGCATCATGTTTTCCAGATCCATCCACGTTGTAGCATGAATCAGAACTTCATTCCTTCTTAAGGCTGAATAATATATATTGGACGGATAAGCTACATTTTGATTATTCATTCAGTTGATAGACAGTTAGATTGTTTCTACTTTTTACCTATTATGAATAATGTTGCTGGGAACATTTGTGCACAATATTTGTTTTTGTTTTTTGGAGATAGGGTCTTGTCCTGTTGCCCAGGCTGGAGTGCAGTGGTGGGATCACAGCTCACTGCAGCCTCAGCCTCTTGGGCTAAAGTGATCCTCTCACCTCAGCCTCTTGAGTAGCTGGGACCACAGGTACATGCCATCATGTCTGGCTCATTTTTAATTATTTTTGTAGAGACTGTTCTTCCTGTGTTGCCCAGGCTGGTCTTGAACTCCTGGTCTCAGGTGATCCTCCTACCTTGGCCTCCCAGAGTGGTGGGATTACAGGCATGCGCCACTGTGCCTGGCCTTGTGTACAAGATTGATGTAGACATGTTTTTAATTCTTTTAGTTATACACTGAGGAGTGGAATTGCTGAGTCACATGGTAACGCTATGCTTAACTTCTTGAGGAATTATACCACTTTCCAAAACAGGTGCACCATTTTATGTTCCCACTGGTGGCAATGAGGGTTGGGATTCTCTACATTCTCACCCATACTGTCATCCACTTCTTTAAATATAACCTTTCTTTAAATGTAACCTTTAAGTGTAACCCTTTAAAAATGTAACCTTTCTTTAACTGTAAGCTCTTCTTTAAATGTAACCTTTCTTTGTATGTTCTTGGTGTAGTTCTTTCTTGCTCTTTTTTTCTAATAACATCTGTTTTCTGAAAGTAGTATCAGTCCTCATAGAATTCTTAGCTAGGAAATTACCTCTCATTCCCCCCTCAGTCTACACATAGCTCCCTACGCAGATGCTGTCTTTCCTTTCAGGATCTTCCTAGGGTCAATATTAAAAGAAAAAGCCGGACTGGGAGCGGTGGCTCATGCCTGTAGTCTCACCACTTTGGGAGGCACGGGGGGTGGATCACCTCGGGTCATGAGTTTGAGACCAGCTTGGCCAACATGGTGAAACCCTGTTTCTATTAAAAATACAAAAATTAGCTGGGCATGGTGGTGTGCACCTGCAATCCCAGTTACTCAGGAGGCTGAGGCACAAGAATTAATTGAACCTGGGAGGTAGAGTTTGCAGTGAGCTGAGATTGCGCCACTGTATTCCAGCCTGGGTGACAGATCAAGACTCCATCTCAAAAAAAAAAAAAAAAAAATTAGCTGGACATGGTGGTGCATGCCTGTAATCGCAGCTGCTTGAACCTGGGAGGTGGAGGTTGCAGTGAGCCAAGATCTCACCACTGCATTCCAGCATGGGTGACAGAGTGAGACCCTGTCTCAAAAATAAAATGAAAAGAAAATGTCTGTGTGTGTACACACATACATGAATATATATTTTCAATTTTATGCCACCGTTTCTTTTTGATAGGAATTCATTTTTTTCTCAATTCATTTCGGATTGGAAATCTGAACTTGGAGATATATGTATTCAGTATTAAAACTTGAATATTTACATTCAATATTAAAAGAAAAAGCCTATGTGTGTAGAGTGTGGATACATATTCACATTTGTGAATGTATATTTTCAATTTAATGTCACTATTTCTTTGTGATAATTCATTTTTTCCTCTATTCATTTCAGCCTGGGAATCTCAACTTAAACCCAAAGAGTTGCCTTCTATGCGGGATATTTTGGAAGAAGCATCCTCCAGGGACGTGCAAATGGTAAGATGTCCGGGGTTTTCCCTGGCTCCCAGCACAGGACAAGTTGCGGGACACGTGAGGTGGAAATATAGGACCAGTGCCAGGGAGATGTTAGCAGCATGGGTGTCTTTTGGAAGGGAGACAGTATCTGAGGGGAGTGTCTGTGACTTCAAGATTTTCTTTTTCTTTTTTTTTTTTTGAGACAGAGTCTTGCTCTGTCACCCAGGCTGGAGTGCAGTGGCACGATCTCGGCTTATTGCAGCTTCTGCCTCCTGGGTTCAAGTGATTCTCCTGCTTCAGCCCCCTGAGTACCTGGGACCGCAGGTGTGCACCACCATGCCTGGATAATTTTTGTATTTTTTGGTAGAGACAAGAGTTTCACTGTGTTGGCCAGGCTGGTCTCAAACTCCTGGCCTTAAGTGATCTACCTGCCTCTAGAACCCTTTTTTCCTAGGTTTCCTGAAGGAAACATTTTAGTAAATGTGAGTCAGACATTGAGTGTGTGAAATATGACTTCCTCTTCAGCAACGGTCAGAAAATCATCTCCTGTTAGAGAAGCCCCATTTTGAATAAGAGGGAGTCCTGTAGGAGAGCTGGCAACACACTCAACTGGAAGAACTCCAGCGGCCTAAACAAGGCCTGGCTTGAAAATGCTGAGAATGTGCTCCTGGTGGGGAGGACCCCTGGGCACTGGCACAGATACTGGTGAGCTTTCCACCATCACTCACCTCTTTTTTTGTTTTTTAAAAGACAGGGCCTCTGTCTTCCACACAGGCTGGAGTGCAGTGGCATGTTCGTGGCTCACTGCAGCCTCAAACTCCTGGGCTCAAGTGATCCTCCTTCTTCAGCCTCCCAAGCCACTGGGACCACAGGCCTAAGCCACCAGAGTCACCGTGCTCAGATGCTTTTTTCCCCTTCCTTCCTTCCTTCCTTCCTTCCTTCCTTCCTTCCTTCCTTCCTTCCTTCCTTCCTCCCTCCCTCCCTCCCTCCCTCCCTTCCTTCCTCTCTCTCTTTCTTTCTCTCTCTCTCTTTCCCTTTCCCTTCCCATACCTTACCTCCCTTACCTTTCTTTCCTTTCTCCCTTTCTTTTCTTTCTGTCTTTCTGACATTGGGGTCTTGCTATGTTGCTTAGGATGATCTTGAACTTCTGGCCTCATGTGATCCTCTCACCTCAGTCTCCCAAGTAGCTGGGACCACAGGTGTGAGCCAGTGGGCCCAGCCATCACTCACCTTTTGTCAGGAGCAAGCTCCACCTGGAGAAAAGGCACCTGATGAGTTGGAAGGAGGCAGGAACAGTTTCTGGAGGAGCTGGAGAGGTGGGGAGAATAAGCTATGAGGGCCAGGTGCCCTCTTCGTTTCTGTGAGCTCTCTCCTTTCAGCACAGTGCTCCAGCACCTTCCACAGAACTCCACAGCCAACCCAGCAAGCCCCTTGTAATGGGTGCTGAGAGTGGCAGGCATGGGGCTTTTGTTACATCAAAGCCTCAGGAAATAGGTGGTCACAGACTATTCTGAGTGAGCAGAGGGGGTCCACCTGTGGACACATGTAGAGAAGCTCAGCAAGTTCAACCCTGAAGACATCCAGCCCTTAAGTAATAGAGGTGGGTTTGGAGCAAGGAGTTGAACTCAGACTAACCGCAGGGACCACAGTCTCAGCTGCCAGGTTCTACTGCCTGATGATCATACAACCTGCCACTGGGTTGATGGTGCTGACCCTTCAGACCCTTCAGGTAGTCCTTCCAGGCCATACCAGGCACCACTGAGCCTTATTGCAATAATTGAGGCCCCATACAGTGGCTCCGAGGCCTCCCTGTCACATGGGGAAAAGTGCTGATGGCCAGGGACAGATTGAGTCCTCATGGCCTCCCTCTCTTTGATCAGCTGGTCCAGTGGAGGGACCAGTGAAGAGAGAGTAGGAAACCGCTCTTAAAAGAGCCCCCAGGAAGTCAGGCGCAGGGGCTCACCCCTGGAATCCGAGCAACTCAAGAGGCCAAGGCAGGAGGACCTTGGGAGCCCAGGAGTTTGAAACCAGCTTCAGCGACCTAGCAAGAACCCACCTCTGCAAAACATACAAAAATTAGCCATAGCCAGGTGTGGTGGTGTGCACCTGTAGTCCCAGCTACTTGGGAGGCTGAGGTGAGAAAATTCCTTGAGCACAGGAATTCAAGGCTGCAGTGAGCCTTGTGTTCATACCACTGCCTTGGTGATGGAGTGGGATTCTAGCTCAAAAAAAGAAAAATAAATGAAAAAACCCCAAGGGAGGCTGAGGAACAGGCCTCTCCAGGATCAACCCTTCTGTCCCAGGGCCACCCCACAGCTGCCTCTTCTGCAGATGCCCATCTCTATGAGGCTACAGTGTTGCTGCTTTCATCCTCTGCTGTGTCCCCAGGGCCTGCACTAGCAGTGCCCATGTCTTAGTCTGTTCTTACCCTGCTAATAAAGAGATAGCCGAGACTGGGTCATCTCTAAAGGATGGGGTTTTAATTAACTCACAGTTCAGCATGACTCGGGAGGCCTCAGGAAACTTACAACATGGGGGCAGGGGATGCAAACACATCTTTCACATGGTGGCAGCAAGGAGAAGTATAAACAAAAGGGGGAAAAGCCCCTTATAAAATCATCAGATCTCGTGAGAACTCACTCTCTATCATGAGAACAGCAGCCTGAGAGAAACTGCCCCATGATTCAGTTATCTTCTACCAGTCCCTCCCACGACATGTGGAGATTATGGGAACTACGATTCAAGATGAGATTTGGGTGGGGACACAGCCAAACCATATCAGCCCAGTATGTATTTGTTGGACAAACAGGCGGAACACCTAATAACAGTTTCTTAAGTAGAATGATCTGTGTCAAAATCATTCTGATGCCAACACTTGTCTCAAAACGTACCCGTGGGATTTTGATTTATGACACAGAGAGGCCAACGTCATTGGAAAATTTTTATTACTTATATTTCTTGGGAGGACAGGGCACACCACACCACACAGGGCCACACAGGGAAGCACAGGGTCAGCCTGGAGGCAGAAAGGAGCAAGGGGATAGCCCAGGCCAGAGCCTTTCTTGGGGTTTCCACAGGAAAGGTGAGGCTGGACAGGGTAAACTGTGAGTTTGAATAATTCCAATGGACCTTGGGGGATAGGTGCTGTCCCTGGCTGATTGAGGGCAGAGGAAATATTGGCTGGGTGAGAGTGAGGTAAGGAGCTGGTACAGCCTGTGGGCTCTGGGTCCCAGGGGAGGTAGAGACAAAGTTGGTAGGCAGCTTGGCCCTGTGACTGATGGATGCCTTGTGAACAAGGACAGCATTCCTCTTCAGGACCAAGATCTCCCGACCTTTCTTTTTTTGTTTTTTTGGATGACTTAAACAGCAGAAATTTATTTTTTCACCCTTCTGGAGGCTGGAAGCCCAGGATCAAGGTGTTGGCAGGGTTGGGTTCTCCTGAGGTTTCTCTCTTTGGCTGGCAGGTGGCCATCCTCCTGCTGCCGCTTCACATGGCCACCCCTCTGTACCACACCTTCATGTCTCATAGTGTCTCCAGGGGCTCTGTCCTAACCTCAGTTCTGTCTCTGTATCTGCAGTGTGTTCAATCCTCCATACCCTTGGTGGCAGCTGGTGCCTGCAGTAGGTTGGGATAGTTACTAGGTCTGAGGTCACCAGATGCCAGACCTGTGTACCTTGGTTTTTTTTTTTTAGACACAGTCTCACTCTGTTGCCTGGGCTGGAGTGCTGTGGTGTGATTTTAGCTCACTGCAACTTCTGCCTCCCAGGTTCAAGTGATTCTTGTGCTTCAGCCTCCCAAGCAACTGGGACTATAGGCATGCACCATCACACTTGGCTAACATTTGTAATTTTAGTAGAGATGGGTGTATTAGTCTGATTTCATGTTGCTGATAAGGACATACCTGAGACTGGGCAATTTACAAAAGAGAGAGAGGTTTAATTGGACTTACAGTTCCACGTGGCCAGGGTAGCCTCACAATCATGGCAGAAGGCAAGGAGGAGTCAGTCATGTCTTACAAGGATGGTAACAGGCAAAGAGACCTAGTTCAGGAAAACTCCCCCCTTATAATAACCTTCAGATCTCTTGAGACTTATTCATTATCACAAGAATAATCATGGGAAAGACCTGCCCCCATGATTCAATTACCTCCCACTGGGTCCCTCCCACAACATGTGGGAATTCAAGATGAGATTTTGGTGGGGACACAGCCAAACCACATCAATGGGGTTTCGCCGTGCTGGCCAGGCTGGTTTGGAACCCCTGGCCTCAAGCATTTCTCCCACCTCAGCCTCCCAAAGTGCTGGGATTACAGGCATGAACCACTGCACCTGGCCCCATTTGCCGTGACTTCTGGCAGCCCTAAGCCCCAAACCAAAGGTTTGTTCTCAGGCCGAGAACAGCTATGGTACCACCTCTGTCCTGCTCAGCACCCTCCTGTCTTTTCCCAGGGGCCAGGGCTGTTCCTGAGGATGCAGCTGGTGCCGTCCATGGAAGAGAGGGAGACACCATTGACTCAAGAGGACTGGCCAACTCTCCAGGAGCCACCTTGGTCTTCGGGATGCATGGTAAGCCCAGGAGGGTTCAACTGTGATGGCACTGTGTGCAGTCAGGAAAGCCTGGGGTGTGGGGTGTCTGTAAGCTGGGGGAGGAGAGGGAGAGGAGGTGGGTGTCTGGGCCTACATTTAGGAGTCGGGAATCTGTAAGAGGCCCAGGCTGTGGGCTTGGGGTGTTAGAGTCTGTTTCTGTGTTGAATGTACTTGTCCCCAGGGAGATGGCGGGCTCCAGGGTGGGTCCTGGGGGAGGGTCTGACAGCTGGACTGTGAGCCCTGCCTTTCCTGGTCCAGCCTTTTTCCTTTCTGTTCTTCTACCCCAGCCCCACTGCTTCTGTGACCCTGAAACTGACAGGAACTGGCAGGTCCTATGACCTGAGGGCTGGGCAAGGAAGTGTCCAGGCTCAGGGCAGTGAGGACCTCTTGGCTCAGGGCCCTGTATGTCCTCGCCAAGGCAGAGAGAGAATGGGAGAGGGATGCTGTAAGGCAGTGGTCCCCAACCCCAGGCCATGGACCAGTACCAGCCCCTCGCCTTTTAGGACCCAGGCCGCAGTGCAGTAGGTGAGTGGCGGGCGAGCATCTGTGCCTGAGCTCCGCCGCCTGTCAGATGAGCAGCAGCACCGAACCCTGTTGTGAATTGCGCATGCGAGGGATTAGGCTGCATGCTCCATGTAAGAATCTGACTAATGCCTGATGATCTGAGGTGGAACAGTTTCATGCCAAAACCAAACCCCTACCCTGGTTTGTGGAAAAATTGTCTTCCATGAAACTGGTCCCTGGTGCCACAAATGTTGGGGGCTGCTGCTGAGGCACATCCTGAGTTCTGCCCTAGGAGAAAAGGCCTCCTCCCACTTGCCCCTGCCCTATTCCCTTACCTGAGGGACCTGCTGTGTGTACCCCCGACCTCCCATCCGCCACCAAGTCCTGCTAGCATTATCTCCAAAATGTAACCCACCTCCAGCTACCCCTCCCGTCCCCGCTGCTACCACCCTGCCCAGAGCCACTGTTAGTTCTCCCAGACTCCAGGTCTGCTCCTGACAGTCACCTGGGCCCCACCCTGGACACAGAGGACAGAGGGATCCCTTAGAACTGCAGGTCAGGTCAGTCGCCTTTCCTGAGTGAGCAGCTGCCAGCAGAGAAGAGTTCAAATCCTACTCCAAGGACTGATATTCCTCCCAGAGAAATTCACTGACTGCCTGCCCCTCATTCACACGGGTCCACTGCCAAGCTCCATTTCCCCTCTTATCCCTCAACCTCCTGGTCATGCACTCCCCAGTTTTTTCCAGCTTTTCCCTGACTTCTGGAGGCTCCCTGGAGTGTGCCATCTCCCCTGGCCTCTCTCCAGGCCATTTTGGATCACAGTGGTTAGCTTTGTACTTAAGGATTGGGTAAAACCCAGCAAAGTGAATGGGCCTATCTCTTCTTTTATTAATATGTTCCCCAAAGCAGGATCAATCGTGCAGATTCATGTGGGGTGAGCAGGTGTGAGTGGACCTCCTCGGCTTCGTGACTCTAATCTGTGACCCCTGTTACTCTGTCCAGGGACCGAAGGCCGCTGTGCAGATTCAAAGGATGGTGATGCCAGTGCCCACACTGGGCCACCCTGACCTGTGGGTGGCTGGGAATTCTGGTGAGTGAGTGCCATGTGGAACACATGGCCAGAGGGCATTGCTGTCCTTGGGTTCTGTGCAGAAACTTGTAGCCCATCCTGCCTGCATTTCGTCTGACTGCAGGCACTGCTGTGGCACCATAGGGAGAGGATACAGAAAGCCTCTCTTCTTATTTGTGTGTTTAAGGGGGAGGGCACTTCCAGTGACAGATCTTTCTGTTAAGAAAGAGAGGGCTTACCCATCCGAAGCAAAGGCCAGATCTCTCTTTGGGCAACAGGAAATTATTGACATGATAATGTCGATTTTGAAAATTATGATTGAATCTACTAGAAATGGCCTGTGTTTTAACTGTGCTCTTAAAAATGAGGTCCAGGCTGGTTGCAGTGGCTCATGCCTTTAATCCCAGTGCTTTGCAAGGCCTAGGCAGGAGGATTGCTTGAGGCCTGGAGTTCGAGACCAGCCTGGGTAACTTACTGAGATCCCTAGTTCTACAAAATAAATAAATAAATAAATAAATAAATAAATAAGCAAGCCATGGGTAGTACCTCTCAAGTCCCAGCTACTTGAGCGGCTGAGGCAGGAGGATCGCTTGAGTCCAGGAGGTTGAGGCTGATGTGAACTACAATTGGTTTACTGCACTTTCCAGCCTGGGTGACAGAGTGAGTCCCTGTCTAGAAAAAAGAGGTTCAAAGCCACTTCTCTTGAGAAGTGGGGAAGAAATTAATTCTAGAAGACAAATAACATTTTAGCTTTAATGATAAAGTATTTTTTTTTCCAGTTTGCCTTCTAGTAAGAATAATAAACTTTGTTTCTTAAAAATGCCATCCACTCTTGTGTTTGGAATCTGTGTTATCTTCTTGACAGGAAACAGTTCTTAGATCTAGGTCATGTGTTGCTCTTCAGCATATTTTTGATAAGCCTTCTGGGCTGGGATTTATTTTGTTACTTCTTTTTTTTTGAGATGGCATCTTGCTCTGTCGCCCGGACTGGAGTGCAGTTGTGTGATCTTGGCTCACTGCAACCTCTGTTTCTCGGGTTCAAGCCATTCTCCTGCCTCAGCCTCCCAAGTAGCTGGGATTACAGGTGTGCATTACCACGCCTGGCTAATTTTTGTATTTTTAGTAGAGACAGGGTTTCACCATGTTGGCCAGGCTGGTCTCGAACTCTTGACCTCAGGTGATCTGCCCACCTTGGCCTCCCAAAGTGCTGGGACAACAGGCGTGAGCCACTGCGCCCGGCCTATTTTGTTACTTCTTGAAGCGGGTGTGACTGTTGGCCGGTGGTGTGATGGGGATGAGGAAACAGCCACAAAGAAAACCCTGACCCTTCCTCTGTGGGACTCACAGTCTGGCTTGGGGGTCAGGGTTTGAAATGAAGAACAGAGTCCAATGTAAGCGTGTTATACAAGGACTTCATCTCAGGGGATGGGGGAGAGTTCTGGGAAAGGATGGATATTTAAGCTTAGGCCGGGGTTTCTCAGCTACAGAACTGCTGAGACTGGGGCCCGTTTGCTGTCAATTGTGGGGCCGTCCTATGCATTGTGGGATGTTGAGTGGCATCCCTGGCCTCAACTCACTAGATGCTAGGAGCACTTTTCCTCTATGCGTTTGCTAGGGCTGCCGTATCAAAGTTCCACCAGCCGGGTGGATTAAACAGCAGAAATGTATTGTCTCAGTTCTGGAGGCCAGAAGCTCGAGATCAAGGTGTTGGAACGGTTGGTTCCTTTTGATGCCTCTCCTTGGCGTGTGGATGGCCATCTTCTCTCTGTATCTTCACAGCATCTCCCCTCTGTACATGCCTGTGTCTAGATATCTTCTTCCTGTGATAGGGTTTGGATTTGTGTCCCCGCCTAAATCTCATGTCAAATGGTAATCTCCAGTGTCGGAGGAGGGGCCTGGTGGGAGGTGACTGGATCGTGGGGTTGGATTTTTCCCTTGAAAAATCCTCAAAAGTGAGTGAGGTCGCATGAGATCTGGTTGTTTGAAAGTGTGTAGCACCTCCCCCTTCACTCTCTTGCTCCTTCTCCAGCCATATAGTGCGTGTCTGTGTCCCCTTTGCCTTCTGCCATGATTGTAAGTTTCCTGAGGCCTCCCCAGCCATGCTTCCTGCACAGCCTGTGAAATCATTAGCCAATTAATCCTCTTTTCTTTATTCAGTCCCCATTCTCAGGTAGTTCTTTATAGCCGTTTGAGAATGGACATCTTCTAAGCACATCTTCTAATACATCTTCTAAGTACACCCATCATATTGGACTAGGGCCCACCCTACTGACATCGTTTTAATTTAATTACCTCTAAAGACTCTATGTTCAAATACGGTTACCAGGGGTGAGATAAGATACCAGGGATTAAGACTTCAACATTTGAATTTTTGGGGTAATACAATTCAGCTTATAACAGCCACATATCCCCTAGTCTTGAAAAGCTAAAATGTCTCTAGATGCTACAGACTGAATTGTCCTCCCTTTCCCCAGAGTTCATGTTGAAGCCCAATTGTCTCCCCCAAAGGTGCCTGTATTGGAGATGGGGCCTCTAGGGAGGTGATAAAGGTTAAGTTAGGTCATAAGGGTGAAGCCCTCAACCAACAGAACTCATGCCCTTACAAGAAGAGGAAGATACACCAGAGCTTTCTCTCTCCTCTGTAAGGACACAGCCGGAAAGCAGCCATCTGTAAGCCATGAAGAGAGCCCTTACCAGGAACCAACCATGCTGGCATCCTGATCTCAAACTTCCAGCATCCGGAACTGTTAGCAGCAAATTTCTGTTACGTCACCTAGGACATGGTATTTTGGAATGACAGCTCAACACCAGACATTGCTAAACGTCCCCTGGGGGACAAGCCCTGACCTAGACCATGATAAGCACTGTCACATTTAGCTTGGTTAGGTGTTGAGCTGTTGGGTGGTTTGGAGAGAGGATATCAGGCCCAGGAACRACATTGATAACATTCCCCATGGAGCAAGAACCTGTTGCATCCAGGGCTCATGGAAGATGGTGTGAAGGGAGCAGGGAGAGGTGGGGAGAGAGTGATGTGAGCTGATTGAAGAAGGAGTAGGTTCCAGATCGTTTTGTGCCGTGACCAGCTTGGTCATAGAGACCCCAACCCAGGTGGCGCTGAAGGAATGAAGGAACAGAAACAAAGATAGAGTGTTAAAGTGAGGAGCAGAGTGGGACGTCAGGGGGCTGACAGCATTTCCCAGCTGACAGCCCAGAGCAGACTCTGACTGATGTATTTATTCTTTGTGAATAAGTGATTATTTTTAATAAGCAGGTGCTCA